CCTTCTGTGTATCTGGTGGAAGGAATGCTGTATTATGAACCGTTAAAACTATCTCAGACTATCACCGCGGAATTATACAGTCGACAACTGAGGCAGTTGAATGAGCAATTGATCGAGGAACGTCCACATTTTGCGTCAAAGCAAAACAAAGTGATTCTTCTGCACGATAATGCCAGGTCCCATGTTGCATTGACGACCTGGGAAACTATAATGGAATTGCAATGGGAAGCCCTATCATATTCAACATATTCTTCAGATATTGTCTCACCGAATTTTCATTCATTTTGTTCTATGCAGTATAATCGTTCTAGTACACGATTTCGCAATGTTGAGAAAGTGCAACAATTTATCAATAACTTCATTCATTCTAAGAGCAAAGACTTCTTTTATCGTGGTATCCATTTTTGCCTGAAAGATGGCAAAAAGTAGTAAATAATACCGAAAAATATTTTAATTAAAGATATTATGTCATTTTTAAACATATTAATAAAAAACATTGCCTTAAAAACGATGGAAACTTTTGCATATCCCTAATAATTAGGAAGATCACAGGAAAACTTATAACAAAATTATTTGTAAGTATTTTCATAGCCTAGTTGTCACCATTCTTTATCAATCTAATTACCGAGCTTGGAGGGAATCATTTACTATTCCAATTCATTAGAAGTCTCATAGAGTCTCCAAGTAATTCCAAATTAATATATGGGTCGTCAATTCCCTTAAGAACCACTCTTTTATATATTTTAACCTAAACACTATTCGATAAAATTAAAACTTATTCGCCCAAACGAGACAGACAAACGGATTGGCTTCAACCAGAGTAGAAAAATTAATAGTGAACTTGTTAAAACCAGTCCTCTTGAGATCAAACGAAACAGATCACTGTTTTATTTAATACTGGTGAGCAACTAAGTTTCTGGATTTCACACATGGATGGCGCTAACGACACATGTAGTCGACATACATGTCTGAAGTTGTGTTTTTTTATAGCTTGGACATCTGTTAATAATAACCAGTCGTAATACCAACACATATCGCAACGTAAAAATATTTTTTCTAACAACGAAGATGTCGAGTTTCGTGCCAAATAAACAGCATTTGCGGGAAGCTTTGCTTTTCTGCTTTGACTTGAAAAAAAGTGCAGCTGAAACACGTCGTTTGCTTAAGGAGGCCTACGGCGAACATGCACTATCGAAAACTACCTGTGAAGGTTGGTTTAAACGCTTTAGAAGTGGCGATTTCGACACTGAGGACAAGGAGCGCTCCGGCAGACCAAAAACAATTGAGAACGCCGATCTGCAAGCGTTATTGGATGAAGATGATACGCAAACACAAGATCAACTTGCGGAGACATTAAACATAACTCGCCAAGGTATTTCCAAACGTTTACATGCCATGGGAAAAATTCAAAAGGAAGGAAAATGGGTGCCGCATGAGTTGACTGAAAGACAGATGGAAAATCGAAGAGCCACTTCCGAAATTTTGCTTTTGCGGCATGAAAGAAAGAATTTCCTGCATCGAATTGTTACTGGCAGTGAGAAGTGGATATATTTCGAGAATCCCAAACGCAAAAAATCATGGCTTTCACCTAGCGAAGCATCAACATCGACAGCACGGCCAAATCGCTTTGGAAAAAGACAATACTCTGCATTTGGTGGGACCAGAAAGAAATCGTATACTATGAGCTGCTGAAACCGGGCGAAACTGTCAATGGGCATCGCTACCGACAACAACTGATCAATTTGAACCATGCATTGCTCGAAAAAACGGCCAGAATGGGACATGAGACACGAACGAGTGATATTGCAGCACGACAATGGCTTCGTGCCATCGCACTTCCATCGTCCAGGACACCATCAAAACACTGAAATGGGGTCTGCTACCGCACCCGCCGTCTTCGCCAGACCTGGCCCCTTCCGATTATCACTTGTTCCGGTCAATGGCGCATGGCTTGGCTGGGCAACACTTGGCCAATTTCGAAGAAGTGCAAAATTAGTTGGATGAATGGTTTCGGTCCAAAGACGTGTCGTTTTATCGTCGCGGTATTCATGTATTGCCAGAAAGATGGCAGAAATGTGTAACTAGCGAGGGACGATACTTTGAATAAACCATTTTTTATATTTCTCTTGAAATTTTCCATTTTTCATTGATCAAAGAAACCCGGAAACTTAGTTGCACACCTAGTATTATTTAACCTTGTCACAAGTTTCAAAGTCCCAATAGATAACTTGTCCTCTAAATTTAAAGGGAAAACCCTTTCAATAGAAACGAGGTAAGAATCCTTTGCATCACTATCGTATCTATTACCAAGCAGTTTCACCAATTGTCTAGGAATATTGGTATAAGGACTGAGCTTATCTTCGAGATTCGCTTTCTTTGTTTTGGATTAGAAACCAACGGTTGAGCTCTGAGAAGGAGCTACAGCCTTTTTTTTCTTTTGAAGACATTCCTGTTTGTTTCTTTGTACTGTCCTTGTATCCCTGATAGCACATGTTTCCCTGGGGACGTCCTCAGGACATATGTGCTATTAGGAATGTGACTATCCGGCGCCTACAATATCTCGAAACCAATAAATTCTGTAATCGGTATGCTTGAAACGCGGCTCTATCCTTGTATATTATTGACCCTTGTGTTTATAAAACAACAGTCGAATTTTGGTTGCATGTGAGAACCGTTAGTAGTCTTTTCCACATATCCAGTGTCGAAGCCTTGGCAACCATGTTCTCGCAACAAGAAAGAATGGCTGCGTTCAGCAGAACAAAGTGATCAATGAGCGCTTAGTGATTCTCGCTCCTGATTGGTAAATACTTCTGGGTCTATGAAGAATCTAAAAGAATGCTCCAATCACAGACAATAATCACTAAGCGCTCACTGATCATTTTGTTCTACTGAACGCAGCCATTGTCTATGTCAGTAGCAGTCTCCTCATTGCTGTATAAATGTTCCGCGAGCGGAGTTAAAGACTCCCCAAAGGACGAATTCGTTTCAATATTAGACGGGGCGCCCATTGTGAGAACGAAGAATGCCACGTATATCTTTCAAACGTATACGTTTCAAATTACACTAAATCGATTCACTCAAATCTTGCAGAATTTGATAACATAGATTCTCAACTTAAAATCCTAAAGAAAAAAAGCCAAGGTCGAACCAACGTAGACATAAGAGAAACAACTAGATCCAGACAACTAGTTACAGTCAGACAAGGCGTATGCACCTTACGGCGGCCATTATCGGACTCTCTATGTGCACCAATGAATCATAATGAATGGCGTTTTAGAAAGTTCAATACCAATCTTACAAACACACAAAACGGCGGAAAAATATTTCAATTTAAAATAAACACATTTTACAAGTCTGAGAAGAAACTAAAACTTTTGCATAGACTTAATACAAGGGCCGGACCACCTTCGTTCTTGTATTTTGCGCACATCTTTCTCGTTATTATACACTTCAACGCGAGCCTTCGATGCTTCACTTGGCAGTCGTGGAGTAGCCTCGCAAGCATAGACATAATATATCTAGACTACGTGTTCGAAGAGCGGGGATAGAGCTCACGTAGAAAAGGATGCACTCTGTTTTTATTTTGCGTTCTCTCTTGCACGCTCTCGATGGAAGGAGAGTAGGGGAAGCAATTGCTAACCTGTACGACAGTGCAGCAGCTGCTTTCTTTTCCGATATACTGATCAATCTAGACCACCGTGCTTTCAACTCACTCCGAAGTATATAGGGTGTCTCATAATGTACGACTTTCCTCTGGGGATGTAAAAGAGAGTGAAATTCTGAGTCGAAAGTTCCTCTTCCACTTTTTCCTCCGACGATTAATAACAAAGTTATTAACGAGGAAAGTTGACCATTTAATGAGCTAATTGATTAATATTATTAATAATAATAATTAATATTAAAAAGATATCTTACTTCTTTCTTTGTCTTCACAGTTCGTTGTTTTGAATCTTGTTGCGTTTAAGATTAAGGAACCGTTGCTAAAAAGTATCTCATGTAAGAAATAACTATAACACTTGTCAGCCGTTTCTCAATCCGCGAAGCATCGAAGTCATCTTAACATAAATATGGGAAAAGCAAAATAAAAGATAAAAGAAGAATTTATTGTGATGAATTAACACCTTGTAGAAGAGTAGATGAAACATACATTAAGTAGTTTCTACGAACAATATTTTGAACCGGCGCTTTAAAAAATCGGTCTTTTTCAAGACCACTGAAAAACCATTGGTTCTTTTCATTTAAAATAATATTTAATAAAATTTCCATTTTTTAATTTGTTTTTAATCGATTTTTTGTTTTTGTTTATTAAAAATGATTAATCAATTAGCTCATCAAATGATGATAATTCTGAAATGATGATAAATTTAGCTATCTAATATCATCAGATAAAAACAAATTTCAGCGCCAGCGTAAGGTGGAGCCCTGCACCAGTGTACGGCACTACGCGACAGCCGTGCGCGCCACGCCATTGGTCAACTTTCCTCGTTAATAACTTTGTTATTAATAGTCGGAGGAAAAAATGAAAGAGGAACTTTCGACTCAGAATTTCACTCTCTTTTATATCCTTAGAGGAAAGCCGTGTGTTATGAGACACCCTGTATACAGGTACACAGTATTATCGTACTGTATTATCATACAAATTAGTTGTTTCCCCTATTCCATTTTCACCGAGAGTGTGCAAGAGAGAACGCACAGACAAAACAGAGCATTCTTTTCTACATAAAGTCTATCCCCATCCTTAAAATTTGGGAGAATGCGCAGTCTAAATATACTACGGCTCATATTCTGAACTCTCTTTTATCGCTAAAAGTGACTGTAAAAATGGCTTATAAGCTTCCTGATTAGTTATAAGCTACTTTTAGAGTCACTTTTAGTGATGAAAGAAGTTCAAAACATGGGCCTATGTCTATGCTCGCGAGTTTATCCGCGCCGCCGGCTCAATCCCCTCATGGTCCGACCCTCAGCATCGTTGGAAATTCGACGCGTCGAGGATCACTTACCCACGACAAAGTACCTTTTAATGTGCCTCAGTAGCATCGAGAGCGTCACGGCGGCGAGGGCCTGCAGCACAGCTAAGCTGAGGAAGCTTAAAGTCACTGTGGCGACGCCACCCAGGGCGCACACCACGTACGCCTGTCGACGAAGCGGGCGTGTCGTTAATTATAGCCGTGTAATTTTCGGGAAATACGCTGCGCTAATTATAATCGGTTTAAGGAAATTGAATAGCTCGTCGCATCGCGTCGCCCAGACGGCCGCCTTGCCAAAATGTTTGTGCTCGAGATGAAGCGCGTCAACATGTCAATGTCTCGAAGGGAGGAAATGGAAAATTTGTTCGGGCCGAGAAGTCGGGTGAGGTGACTCCGAAAATACAGAACGACACGCATGTTTTCTCCCCGGGGAAAGACAGCGCCGCTCTCTTCGGCTTTAAAATTATCTCCGAGCTGTGTGTATCGGCTAAATCTCGAAATAATCGCACGACACTCGCGCCGAAAACTGAATAACCTCACGAGCAATATGACTGACACGTGTGATCTTTCACAAAGGTGAAATATTCGTTTCCTGCTGAAAGACTGCAATACGCGTACTCGTTATTGCCATAATCACCGTCAAATATTATTATTAATAACAATTGTTATCATTATTCAATAACAATTGTCAATAACACCGCGGCAGCACTTGCCGCGAAAACGATTTCCCTGATTACAAAATTGGGTCATTGAGCAATTGTATAATCACGAATGTCAAATTCGCTTTTCTCGTTGCAATTTCATTCTTACGGGATCGTTCGTGCGACTATCTCGAGGCGAAGGAGAACGAATCGGTCGGCGGTGAATTCACGCAAGGACCGTTTGTTTTCCGTTTACCTCCACGAAATCGGCGTAGATGAAACCCTGCTCGAGTCCGATGAAGAGGGTGAGCGGCGCCGCGAGCTGCAGCTTGGGATCTTGAAACGCGCATTTAACGGACTTCAGGATACTGCGGGCAGTGGTGCGGTCTTGGCTTGCTTGCGGCTCTTGCATCCTCGAGTCGAGGAACGCGCAGGATATGCTCAGGCCGAGCACCGCTAAGCCGAGCCAGATGCTGACCAGCACCTTCGACGTGCCCCACGTGACTGTCGGCACGTAGAGCGATTCGTTGTAGAAGTACGTTTCCTCCGAGCAGTACTCGGCCCCGCAGATGTCCCCGACGTCGCTGTTCACAGTGCTGCTAGGTGGCACCAAGTCCGTCAGTCTGACGAGGATCGAGGCGATGACGCAACCTGAAACGCACACGGTCAGTAGTATCAGCTCGGTCAGCGTGAAATTATTTACGAATTAATTAGCGACCGTTAATTGCTCGCCGGCGAAATAATCGATACCAATTAACGCGTTCACGCAACCGAATAAGGAAAAAGGAATAGGATGAAAGGAAATAGAAAAAAGGATGTTTAAAAGTCAAACGAGTTATGATTGCATCCTATTCGCGATTTCATGAAACGATAAAAATCGTTAAACGGAAAGATTCTTTGCAATAAAGAGAATATATATCAAATATTGAGAAACATGATGAATATCGGAGGGAATAAGACTTTAGGTTCCGACTTTAGCGTCCGATGAGCTTGATGAGCGTCGTGGCGCAGCAATAATTGTGGACCCATAACGCGCAAAGGAATAAAAAAGGACATTCAAGAGTCAAATGACTGCATCATCTTCGCGATTTCATGGAATGATAAAAATCTCTGACTTGGAAAATGGCAAGATTGGCTGATTCTTCTGCAATAAAGAATACAGATCTCGAATTTTGACATAAATATCAGAGAAGATAAAACTTTAGGTTCCGACTTTAACTTTAACATTCAACTTGACGAGCGTCGTGGCGCAGTACCGATTGCGAAACCGCAACGCAAAAGAATAAAGAAAGGACGTTAAATATTCAGACGAGTCGCGATTTCATAGAATTATAAAAACCACTAAACAGAAAGATCGGCTGACTGCTTTGCAATAAAGAGTACAGATCTCAAATTTTGACATAAATATCAGAGAAAATAAGATTTTAGATTCAGATTTTGACTTTAACATTCAACTTGATGAACGTCGTGGCGCAGTACCGATTTCGAGGCCGCAACGCAAAAGAATAAAAAAAAAATATGTTCAGAATTCAGACGAGTCGCGATTTCATGGAACGATAAAAACCGCTGAACAGAAAGATCGGCTGACTGCTTTGCAACAAAAAGAATTTTGATCTCGAATTTCGACACGAGAAACGTGACGAATATCGGAATGGATGAAGTTTTATGCTCCGACTCTAGACTTTAACTTTAGCATTGACGAGAGTCGTGAGACGCAGTACCGAATGCGAGGCCAATGTCCTCGGCCAACTTGATTCCCCGATTGAGTCTCCTCAGCAGGCACTCGCGCCGCGTCTCGTCAGGATCCTCGGGATCGACGCAGACCAGCGCCAGGCTGGTCGCCGAAACGTTGACGTGCGACGTCCTCGCCAGGAAACTCGGGGTGGCGCAGGCACCCAGCATCGCGTAGCTGGGCAGGAGTATATACCTGGCGATGCGGAAGAGCGCGCATGTTACTTTCGTGACGGCTCGCTTTGTGATAACGCCTATTTTCGTAGCGTCAGGTAGAGGAAAGCAGAGACAGAGACAGAGACAGAGACAGAGAGAGAGAGAGAGAGAGAGAGAGAGAGAGAGAGAGAGAGGCGCGCGAGCGCGTCTTCGCTTGTCGCTTTCGCTGGCCTTCTTTTTTTTCTTTATGAGCCAATAAATAACGCCTCGCCTCCCAAGAGACTTTTCTAGTACAGAGAGCGGAATAAAGCGGCGATATTGAACGATAGAACGCGGAGAGAAGAGTCTCTCGCTGTCGCGAGACTCGCGGCGGATTACGGAGAACCGTCATGACGCGATAACGCGATATTAAGTCAATTTGTGGCTTATCGGACGGAATCGGGATCAATCACGAGCCAAGAGAGGCTGCCCTGTGAATGTCTCGGAGCGGAATGTCACTGGAAACGAGCGAAAATTGCCAACATGTAGTAGATGTTCGACTCGAATCTCAATTGAATTCTTCATCCGGCCGAGCGAATGTTTCAATCGATCTGAGTGAATCTGTTCCGTCGGACTGTCTCAGGCTCAGCTGTCGATCCCGAAGGAAAATATTCACTCGACCAGTTCGCCGAGAGGGCGCGAATTATTTGATTCTCTACGAGCGAAATATCAGCGATCGGTTCGATATCGCTCAACTTTTCGAGTGGAATTCCGCGGAGAAAGTCGGGAATCAACACCCGATCTAATTAGCGCTAAAGAGAGTCCAAAGCCAAGTTTGACTCCGAGAGTCTAGAAAAAGAGCTCTCTTCAAGTTCGCCACAGAACCCGGACAGGTGAGTTACCACTTGGGATACAGATGCACGCCGACGAAGATGGTGGTGACCAAGTGGCTGATGGTGACGGTGAAGTTGGTGCCGAGCTTCTGCACGACGATGGGCGCGAAGCAGCTGCTGACGGTGGCGATCGCGTAGAGCAAAGCGAGCAGGATCGGGCCCAGGTGAGGCTCGAACGCGCCGAGGCCCGCTTGTAGCGGAAAGATCGGCAGCATCGCGGCCGAGCAGGCCGCGTGTCCCAGCAGAAGAGCAACGCAGTGACGCAGTATCGCCCTGCGCGGTGGCCGCGGCCCGGACGGCGCCGCCCTGACTGCCGCGATTAGCCGGCGCACCGACGACGCGCCCGCCGACGAGTTCATGGAGTCGCGACGTCTCCAGGACAGCGCCGAGATGCGAGTCGACCGGCAGGAGATTGGCGAGTATGTCGCCATGTGCTGCGAACAAAGAGAGAGGGAGAGAGACGCGATGAGGACGTATAGAGGGGGAGGAACTTCTTCAGCCTCCACGGCAAGCACGACTCGGAGCGATGAGTATCCAAAGTCGCCGATAAAATGAACGCTAATCGCCGCGCGATGGCAATCAACGATGAGGCATTGCGTGTTTCTTGGCTCTGTTCTCACAGCAATCGTGAGGAGACCTGTTCCGAAATCGGTTTCAGAAAACTTTGGTTTTAGTTACAATATTGATACACCTTAAACTAACTTAGATACATTCCGCAATTGATTAGCTGATCAATTATCAAGATTGTAAAAAATCTATCTATTTCCTTATACAGGGTCTGCCAAAAGTTCCGGAACGGCTAATTATTTCAAAAAATAATGATTGTTTAAAACAATGTTCGAAACAAAAGTTGTAGGGCTTAAAAGAGCTATCAGATATTTTAAAATTGTTTGACATTAGAATGACCTTGAGAAACGTTATCAAGGTCAACATAAAAATCTTAAATAGAAATTCCAATTTTTCATTACACCGTCTTTTTCCACCAATTAATTTGAACAACTTTTGTCTGAAACATTTTTTTATTTGCCTAATATTTTTTGAGATATTTAAGGATAACTTGGTAACTTTTTTAATATTAGATGTGTGAATTAATTTCAAAGATTTGCCATCGCTTGCTATTATCTTTTCCCATCTGTCTGGCAGTTGTTGCATTCTGTGACGGAAAAACGACTCGTCCTTCGAAGCGATCCATTCATTGAGCCATTTCTCTATTTCTTCAGAATTGTTGAAGTGTTGGTCCGAAAGCCCGTGTGCCATCGATCTGAACAAGTGATAATCGGATGGAGCAATGTCTGGTGAATACGGCGGGTGAGGTAAAACGTCCCAAGCCAAATGCTTCCAAAGTGGCCTTCACAATCTTTCCAACATGTGGCCGAGCGTTATCATGCTGGAAGATCACTTTGTCGTGTCTCTTTGCATACTACTGTGATCAAAAAATAAGGTGAATTTTTCATTTAAACTTCGCGGGTACTATAAAATCATAAAATTATTTTTTTGTGGGTTGGTAGCACTGTCTTTGACATCTATACAGAGTTTCATGTCAATATATTCAATTGCTGCAGAGCTATACGTGTTTTTGTAAACATACAAAAGTGAGTTTTTCGATTTTTACTATGTCTGATTTTGTTGAGCAAAGAATTTGCATTAAATTTTGTTTGCGGAATGAATATTTTGCCGCGGAAACGTTGAAGATGTTGCAGAAGGCCTTTGGTGATAAGGCTATGTCGTAAAAAAATGTTTACAAGTAGTACAAAGACTTCAAAGAAGGCCGAGAACGAGTTCAAGACGAACAGCGCCCCGGACGACCATCAACATCTTTCGATGAAAGCCATGTCAAGGAAATCAAACTGTTAAGAAGGAATAATATTTGAGTTATGCGTCGTTTGCGTGAAGCTATTCGCCTCAAGAGGCCAGAATTATGGGCAGACAATTCTTGGTTTTTGCACCACGATAATGCACCGTCTCACACTGCATTAGTTCTTCGAGAACATTTCATCAAAAATTCGACCCATATCATTCCACAACCACCGTATTCGCCTGATTTAGCACCGTGCGACTTCTGGCTGTTCAACAAACTCAAAAGGGGACATCGTTTCGACTCGATTGAGGAGATAAAAGCCGAATCGAAGAAAGTATTGAAGGCCATCCCGGAAAAAGACTTCTATGACCGTTTCGAGGATTGGAAAAATCTTGGCATAAGTGCATTGTGTCGGACGGGGAATATTTTGAAGGCGATGAAATTGATTTGGACGAATACATAAAGATTTTTCATTTTATAAACAAATCCACCTTATTTTTTTATCACAGTAGTATTCCGGCCACTTATTCTTCAATGCGTTGTTTAAATGGATCAATTGTTGTTGGTAAAGTTCGGCAGTGATGGTTTGGCTCTATTTTAATAGTTCATGATACACTATACTCTTCTGGTCCCATCATACAGGGTGAAGAAAAAACCCCGGGACCCTTGAAAATTTCGAAAAATATACACTTTATAAAAAAAATGTTTCAGACAAAAGTTGTAGCGTTAAAAAAGATATATTTACCGATCTTAACAATTTGACCTTGAGTGGCGTCATCAAGGTCAGGACAAGGTCACCTTGGATTTTTTAAATAGAACTCCTAACTTTTTATTACATATTCTTATAGCCCTTCTTCAGACCTTTTCAAAGCACTATGGTTTTATCCAATTTGAATAAGCTGTTCCGAAGTTATCGAGTTTTTTAAAGTAAGATATCTAGCCAACTAAGGCAAGATCGGAGGATGATCCAGCCAACTAAGGCAAGATCGTAGAATGATCCAGCCAACTAAGGCAAGATCGGAGGATGATCCGGCCAACTAAGGCAAGATCGGAGGATGATCCAGCCAACTAAGGCAAGATCGTAGAATGATCCGGCCAACTAAGGCAAGGTCGGGAGTTGTCCGGCCAACTAAGGCAAAAGGCTAATTACTAAGTAAATGGAAGAAATAAACATCGAACAGCAGAATAGTTAAAATAAATAAATAACTGAAATAAATCAATCAACGAAATTAAGACAAGCCAATAAGAGCCAACGCCTGGAAGTTAGTTGCGCAATTATTTTTACGAGTTGGCTGGATCATCCTCCGATCTTGTCTTAGTTGACCGGATCATCCTCCGATCTTGCCTTGGCTGGATCATCCTACGACTTTGCCTTAGTTGGATAGATATATTACTTTAAAAAACTCGATAACTTCGGAACAGCTTATTCAAATTGGACAAAACCATAGTACTTTGAAAAGATCTGAAGAAGGGCTATAAGAATATGCAATAAAAAATTGGGGGTTCCATTTAGAAAATCCGAGGTGACCTTGTCCTGATCTTGATGACGCCACTCAAGGTCAAATTGTTAAGATCGGTAAATATATCTTTTTTAACGCTACAACTTTTGTCTGAAACATTTTTTTATAAAGTGTATATTTTCCGAAATTTTCAAGGGTCCCGGGGTTTTTTCTTCACCCTGTACATAGAGCATTACTTTCTTGCCGTGAATATTCAGCTTTGGTATCGATGTGGATGGTTTTTCTAGGTCGCTAATGGATTTCCGTCGTTTGGGATTATCGAAATATATCCACTTTTGTCTCCAGTCACAATACGATGCAAAAAACTTTCTCTTTTTTGCCTGGCAAGCAAGATTTCAGACATGGCTTTTCGCCTCTCGATGTCTTTTCCTTTCAGTTCGTATGGCACCCATCTTCCTTCTTTGTAAATCTTTCCCATGGCTGCCAAACGTACAGAAATTGTTGATCAATCAACATTCAACAATTGCACGAGCTCATGTTGCGACTGACACGGATCTTCATCGATTAGCGCCTGCAATTCCTCGTCCTCGAACTTTTTCGGCTGACCTGGACGAGGTTTGTCATCGACACTGAAATCATCACTTTTCAAACGTCGAGACCATTCTCTGCATGATTTATCGGTGGGAGCACTTTCACTATAAGCTTCTACGAGCATTCGATAAGCTTCAGCGGTTGTTTTCTTCAAATGAAAACATAAAATGAGAACTTCCCGGAAATGATGTTTCTTTTGGCTCGAATTTCGATATTTTCGAATCAGATAAACACGATGTTATTGTTACAAACCCAAACGTTTATCAACTGAATATTATTGCCAGATATCAAAACTAATAAAAAATAAAGCCTTTTGCAGACATTAGAGATTAGAAAATTACACATAGTACAGCAATTGACCGCCAGATGGACCGAATTAATTCACACACTAATATTTAACTTACGATATCTCGCTAATTATTTGTCGGGATAAAAAGATGATACTAGACTTTTCTATTCTACTTGGTCTCAAGAATATATTGTTACAATAGCGCCCTGACTTTTGTTAATTTGATGATTTTGAAATTTCGAAAGATCGATAAATTAACAAAATATAGAGCATTAATGTATCAATATATTCTTGAGATCAAATAGAATAGAAAAGTCTGGTACCACATTTTATCCCAACAAACAGTTAGCGAGATATCGTAAGTTAAATATTGAAAAGTTACCAAATTATCCTTAAATATCTCAAAAAATATTAGGCAAATAAAAAAATGTTTCACACAAAAGTTGTTCAAATTAATTGGTGAAAAAAGACGGTGTAATAAAAAATTAGAGTTTCCATTTAAGATTTTTATGTCGACCTTGATAACGTTTCTCAAGGTTATTCCAAGGTCAAACAATTATCAATATTTGATAGCTTTTTTTAAGCCCTACAATTTTTGTCTCGAACATTGTTTTAAATAATCATTATTTTTTGAAATAATTAGCCATTCCGGAACTTTTGGCAGATCCTATATAATATTATTAGGAGTAAAAAGTTTCCATCGTTCTTAAGGCAATGTTTTTTATTAATGTTATTATAAATGACATAGTATATTTAATCAAAATATTTCCCGGCATTATCTACTACTCTTTGCCATCTTTCAGGCAAAAGATAGATACCGCGATAAAAGAAATTTTTGCTTTTAGAAAGGATGAAATTATCGATAAATTGTTGCACTTTCTCAACATTGCAAAATCATGTACCAGAAAGGCAGTGTTACATATACTTTGTATCCGAAAAATCCGGAAAATAACCAGAATAGCTCTATTTTAACGAAATTAATGGCGCCTTTTGTTGGTGGGAAATTGAGTTAGGAAGTATCAACCTTCCTTAATATCCTGTAAAAATTTCATGACATTTCGTTCACTAGAAGTCAAGATACGATACATTTAAGCGACAGTAGTTTACCTCGGTCGCAAAATGAATAAAGAACAAAGAATCAATATTAACCGGCTTACGGTTAGACCCGAGTCTGACTTGGGGTAAGATTTACTACTCTCAGGTTCGCCATTTTTTATCCGCTATTTTGAATTTTGCAACAACAACCTCAAATTTGAAATCAGCACGTTCGAAACTATTATAAAACATAAAAGTAAA